AAACACTTCTTATCGAAATTTTATTACTATAATATTAGTCGAAGAAAAACCAGATATTACAAAAAATGTAAAGCATTTTTTTTATTATCAGATCATATAGAGCGAAAATTACTTTAAGCTTTTTATAAGCTAATTAAAATACTTCTATTACTACTTTTGCTATACCTAAAAAAATAACAACGTTACTAAAATATATGATTTAATTCTACTAAAAGATTTATATTTCAAATAAAATATAACTACAACATCAGTTTAATTAGTTAAAACCTTTTAAATAACTTGTCTTTGCTTCAGTCATCATTTGGTCAATAATTGATAAAAGTTCTTCTTTTGAATTAGGTTCTATGAAAAATGGAATTGTAAAAATTCGAGTTATTGCATCAGTATGTTCATGAAACATTCGATCATTTTTTTCTGTTGTTTCCCATCGATGATAATTACATAATAGACGAAGACCAAATGAACCCACATCAATAACTTCAGCCGTTGTAAGTCGTTGAAGTTCAACTTCTGGCTTTGGACCAAAAGTCATATCAACTAATTCTGCTAGTTCAGTTGAATAGTTTGTGTTTAAATTGTTCATAATTTTTGATACTATTTCATCATCATAAAAATCATCCATTGTTTTCATCTTTATTTTTAAAAAAAACAAGAAATCCTCAGCAAATATTGGTAAATATCGTAACTTTTATGTTTTTCTTTATATTCACATACTATTCCATAGATAATGCTATTACACATTCAACAAAAGTTATCTGTATCACTATGACGAAAGCATAATTCAAAAGTTTAGACAATGTGATGGTGAATATATATAATTAATTGGTTATTTCTTTCGTCTACTATTCACTTTTGGGTATATCTCATATAAATAAAAGTAAATAAAAATATCTCGACTAAATTATATTGATTATAAATAATATTAAAAAAAAATATTCATTGAAATCACAGGGTTAAACAAGATCCAATATGAAAATCGGCTCCATTATTCACAAAAAATGAAATCAAGAATTTAAAACAAAGCAGTATGCATAAGACTTAATATGCATATCCATTAGACATTATTAGTTCCTTGTTATGGTTGAGCGAATTGTGCTGTCCATAAACGAGCTTTTTCTGGACCTTTGCCAGTTAGTGGATCATCTTCAATAGGTATTTCATAAATTGGTTTTGCCAATAATGAATGCATTTCAGTAAATAATTTACTGAGTGTAACACTTGGTGCCCATGTAGCGTTAAGCTGATCGGTACATGCATTACCTTCTTTTGAATGAACATTTGGATGGCATATAGCTGTCTGAAAGCAAAAGTCAGGTGGTTTAAATGGATATTCAGGTGGAAAACTTATTATAAAACGAAAATAACCACCAGTATATGGACTATTATCAGGGCCAATTAATATGCCAGTCAATTGATTCATACCATCGTTAAATGTTAAGTTTAGATTTTGAATGAATGGTAACGGGTTTTCATCTAATGCCCTTAAATCCCTTTGTATTCGTTGGGTTTGTCGAGATGGAGCGGCTGCCATATTATATTTATATCTAAAAAGCGGTCGATATATATATTTATGGATAAATTTATTTTTTTAAATTTTTATTTAAATTTTTCGGAAGTAAATTTTTATTCATGCCTCCCCACACGTCGCTTATTTTTCGATCACCTTTAGTTACTGGTGAACAATTTAAACTTCGTAAACTAGGCAATAAACATAAAACATATGAACGTAAATAAGGCACAGTTAGTTCAATTGGATTACCATGCAATGTTAAATATTTTAATTCTTTTAATGATACTAATTTTTGTACTTCGGCTACATCGGTAAGCATATTTTTATGAAAATAAAAATATTTTAGCGCAGGAAATTGTGTTACAACCTGAAAAAAAAAAGCCGATGAATGAAAAAGAAAAAATATAAATAAATAAATGAGTAAAGAACAACGAAAATACTTAAAGGACATCTATTACTTCCTATCGGAAATTTAAGTCACTCAATTATAGATGTCATTAAAATTCTTCATTTTAGTTTTTCTTACTGTAGGAATTTCTGTAAATTCATTAAATGATAAATCTAATGTTGATAAAATATTCGGATCAACAAGTATCGTTCGTACAAAATCCGGTAATGTTTCCAAAGGACCACTTAAAGCATTATGATTTAAATTAATACCATGCGAAAGATATCGATCACCTTGTTTAATTAATTTTGGTCCACCTGGTACTACACGAGGTTCAGTAACCACATCTATTCATAAATAAAAGAAAAAAGAAAACTAGTTGGAAAAAAACGAAAACCTAGCTTTCTACCTTCAAGTTTCTGTGCATTATGAAACGAATAATCTAATGTAGGAAGTGATTGTGCATGATTATCAATACGTTTTTGTATTGTTGGTGTAGTTCGTTTTACAGTTAATGACGCCATACCACACTGGAAAAAAAAGAGAAGGTCAAAAATAAAGATAGATACGAAATAATGTGATTCTTGATTTATATGCGTTGCTAAGCTACGGTACAACATTTAATTCAATATTAATGTTTTACAATAATTAATATGAAAGAAATTTTTAAAATTTAAGATAAAATAATGAAAATAAATTTTTTTTTCTCTACAAAAAAATTTTATCAACAAAATAAAGGCTGTTGTTAAGGAACCACAACCAAAATAAGTACTCATGGATGAAGTAGAAAAAAACATGCATGTATATTGAAAATATAAACAAAGAGGAATAAAGTTTACTGTACCACTTGAAGGTCGACATTAAATTCCACTTGAATGAAAACATATGAATAATTTTTTAGATATTTGAAACCTTGGTAAATTTGTATAAATGGCTGCTACGACAGTTAAAACGGATCCAATTCGTATGAAATATTTAAAAAAAAAGTTTTTTTTTCTAATATTCATTTTATTTAATTAGGAAACGATAAAATGAAATTTCATACACAAATTGTCGATGGAAAACCACAAATATTTTTTGATGCAACTGGTTTGTTGATTAATTATTCGATTTATTTTTTTTTCATTTTAATTCTAATTTATTAAAGATGAATCTTCAAAAAAAACGAAATCAAAACGAAATAGTCGAGCAACGAATACTGCAAGTCGTCTTACAGAACAACAAAAAACAAAAATAAATAATCAAAAATCTCCAATACAAAATGGAACAAATAAATCAAGAGCTAAAACTGAACAATCAACAAATAAAATACAAGTTAATGATGATGGTTCAACATTAGGAATTTATATGACTATGGATGAATTAACTGAACTTGTTAAAGCTGTAAAAGAAAATTCAAAAAGTAAAAACAAAACAAAACAAAAGATTTTTCGAATAATAATTTATCAATATTTTAGATGATAACAAAACCAATACAGCAAACAAACGTAAATTGAAAATTTTTACTTTAAAAAAAAGTTTTCTTGAAATTTTTTAGAAGAACCACCCGCACCCCCACCCCCGCCCCCACCTCCACCACCACCACAACAACAACAATATATTGAAACAACAGCTCCGCCAATGGTTCCGAAATTAGATTTACCATCAGAACATCCTCCACCTCCACCAGTTCATGGTTCACCTAGAGAACAAGTTTTAAGTATAATGGCTGAAAAAAAACGTCAAAAATGGCTCCGAGAAAAAGCTGAAATTGAACGATTACAATTAGAAATTGAATATGATCAACTTAAACATCAATTATCACCTCGTCTTAAAAAAAATTCTGTATCGCCTGGTATCATCAAAATAATAAACAAAACCAAACTTAAAATTATATTTCTTTCTTTTTCTCTTTTTTTTTTTAGAACGATCGACATTTCAATATGATTTTCCACCAACGACAACAAATAAACCAACACCTGTACCATCAGTTCCACAATCATTTAAACCAAATGATTATCAACATGATGTTTCACCAAAAGTTACTGAAAGTAGATAAAAAAAAAAACAAGAAAAAAACAATTAATATTTATTAATTTTTCTAGTAGATCCAAATCATGAGGCATTTAAAACACAATTATTGGAAAAAAAACAACAACAATGGAGACAAGAAAATTGTAAGGTGCCAGCAATACAAAATTTGAGCAAAATTATTTTTCTCATGATTGGATAGAGATCGTCGAGTTATCTATAAAAATGTTATTGTTGTTGTTGACATATTCCCACAATGTTTTTGTAGTGAATGTTAGGAAAGTTAGTTTTAAACATATCAGAAAAGCTTATAAAAATTGAAATACATCAAACACATAAAGTCTCGGTAGTCTCAAAGTTTATCTGAATTTTTTTTTGATTTTGTTCATCATATAGTAAGGAAAAAATGTATGTATGTTGTTTGATTGTTAAGAAAATCGATTTTTTTTTTGATATAAAACTAAAAAAGCCATAAAAACGATTTCATATTTAGAATCAACATAAAAATATGCATCGAATAGTGTACTTAATACTCAAAAGTAAATTTCAGTCTTTACATTCCCCTCATTTTTATTTTCGAATAATCTGACCTATGGTTTCTCTAACGAGGGAAGTCCTCCAATTGCTAAATTACCATTAAGTCGGAACTATGTGCATCATATAGATCCAAATGAGTTTTGAATATCCTGAAAAGAGTTCGTTTCCTTAGCTTACTGCTGCGGAGATTTTGCACTTTTACGGTAGTTTTTAAATGAATGCTGTGGTTCCCTCAAGAAAACTGACTTTCGAATTTCGATTTGAAACTTTGCATAGAGACAGGCATTAACAAAAATAGTTTCAAATTTTGTTGTTCTTCCTATCCTAAGATATAACTATGGTAATAGCGTATCTTTTACATTGCTCATATAAACCGATAGATTTGATGCTCGTATTTCAAGATAGGAACAAATCAAGAAGACCTGAAACTTTCACAGTAAACTACTCTCGTTAAGGCCTGTCTCTATGGAAAATGTCAAGTTGAAAATCAGTTTTTGCTAGTGTTCCTGCATTCATTTAAATAATACCGAAAAACTCCAGTGTCTCCGCAACAATAACCTAAGAATACAAACTCTTTTCAGAGTATTCATAGTTCATACATATCTACATGTTGTATATAGTTCAGAGTCAAAAGTAATTTCTCTGTTGAAGGATTCCCCTCATAAGAGGAACCACAGATCAAATTATTCGAAAATAGCAGTGAAGAGGTGTAAAGACGGAAATTCGATGAAAATTAGTTTTGAATATATTATTCAAGGTAGATTCTTTTGCTGATTCTAAGTATGAACTCGGTTTTATGGCTTTTTTGCTATCATATCGAAAAAATCGATTTTGTCTGAATATGTCAAAAATAACATTTTTATAAGTAACTCGACAAATTCTATTCAATCATGACAAAAAAAAAAAGTTGCTCAAATTTCCGATTATTGGCACCATATATTTTAAACAAATTGAAAAAATTTCCTTTTATAAAAATTTTGACTTTATTTTTTTTAGCAGAAAAAGTAGCAATTTGGAATCCGTTTGGCCGCCCAGGTGGTGGCGCACCTAATATCAATGAAAATCAATCGCGAACATCTGTTTGTTTTTCTATTTTTTTGTTTTTACTAAATTCCAAATGAATTTATTAATTTATGTTTCTAGCAATTGCCATCAAATACTGTCGTATCACATCGTCCACCAATTCCACCACATACTAATAATTCATCGTCTTCATTATCACCAACACTTACTCATAGTGATCAAACACATGTTCCAGCTGCAATGCGAACAAATTTATTATTTGGTGATGTTCGTTTTGAAGATGATGTTAAAACAGCTAAAGAAATCGAACGTCGCCAATGGTTAGAAGACTTACAAAAACAAGTTGAAGAAAATAAAAATAAAAAATATTTTCAACAAGAAACTGAACGTCGACAAGATTTTTTACATGAAAATATTCGACCACTTGTACAAGAAGCTGCTCATAGACATCAACAACAAACAAATCATAATGGACAAGATTTAAATAGATTTAATCAACATGATTCACTAGTACAACAAAATTTTGAAACAAATGAATCAACTAAATATGATAAAAGAGCTCAATTAGTTGAGAAACTTAAACGTAATGGATATCCAATAGATTCATTAACTAAAACAACTTCCGGTAATGCATTCAATTGTGTTTTTTTTATATATCTATGATTTCATTTAAAATTTCATATTTTCTTTTTTAGATATGAGATCAACTGGTACAGTATCAAATCAAAAAACAGGTGAAAAAATTTTCGGTCCAAATTATGATTCACCATCAGGACAAAATATGAATAATAAAATTGAACCATTACATTTAAATGTTGCTATCGATCGACATCAAGTTTATCGACCAACAGATGCCCGTCGAGATGAAGCTGTTAATACAGTTGATTCAACTTTTCGAAGGTAGAAACAACGAATGCTTATTATTTAAGACAATTTTCTGGTTTCCTAAATTATAATATACATTAGTGAATAATCAAACAAATAAGTTCAATTTTGGTGATTTTAATATAAGATATACCGTAATCTAATACCATTCTAGTACTCATGTCATACTGTGTACGTGTTTTATTCAACTACTAATCATTTTAAAATAAATTTTTAACATAGATCGAGTAATAACTGCCAGCATAGAAACGATGTTATTTATTATATTTTTATATTGAAATAATAATGTTAAAGTATTTTTAGGTGCACTAGAGATGTGCAGCGTAAGCTTTTTTTCGTACCCTGTATCTTGGCTCAGACAAATTTTCTTACCCTTACTCTATTTTACTTTGCACATCTCTAAGGTGTACCTAGTAGCATAAGATGACATTCTCATCGATTGACTATCTGCTATTCATTAGTTTTATAATATATTTATTATTATGTACATTACTAGTTCCTCTCATTTATTGCATTACAAATAACACAATCAGTAAATAGTCATTGTTCTATTTGTTACGTGATTTAATATTCGGTGAAAAATAAGTTTCTGTTCATCAGAATATCGATTGTAAACTCGGAGAACTTAGTACTTCTTCTACTTCGAAAACAATAATTGTAAAGTTTTCAGCTTACTTCAAGATGCTTAGAACAATTAGAAGATTTGCGTATGCCAGTTGTCAAAAATGCACTTTTATTTCTAAATACCAGATAGTTCAAAATACATTCTAGTTGCCAGATTTATTATTTAATTCTTTAATAATGGTTTATAGTTTTTATTTTCGAACAGATTCTTCATACGCCATCTTAAGGTGTATTGTAATGTACAACTATTAGGTAATTCTAGGTTAAAATCATTGAGTTTGGAATGCGCAAATTAATTTTAAAAAATTTATAATAGGGATAAAGCTTTACAAACAAAGTGAATTAATTGATTTCTCAGAATTTTTTCCTTTTACTGTATTATCAAAAAAATAAACGATTCAAACTTTACTAAGAATGATCACGCATCATACACTATTGATTATAGTATTTAGACAACAAATTTAAATTTCCATTTCATTAGTGTTTATAACCATTCATTATGTTCTAATATCATAATTATAAGATGCATAAGTCGTGCAACATGCACTTGTTTTTAAAAACCGCCCACATTCAATCCCTTGATTGTTTGAATAAGTACTTTAATAGAAAAACAACATTTTTCAAAAAAAAAATTCTCATCAATCACGCAGGGTCCCCGGAATAAAAAAAATACATCGAGAAACACTTAGTTAATATAAAAAAAACAATATAACTACTAACTATTGAATTTTCACCAATCATTTAATGTCTTAAAAATAAAAAAAACTAATAGTATAGATCGATTTAGTTTTTCATGCTCCACATATTGACATAGTGATCATATTTATTATTAATTTCTGTCTTAGATTATGTAGGATCATACATCGCATCTGTATGATCCTATATAATCTAAGATAGAAGTTAATGATAAATATGATCGCTACGTTAATTTGTAGAGCACGAAAAATTAAGTCGATCTACAATATTAGGTTTCATATTGAGTTTACACAAGAAAAAATTATCGTTACCATAGTTATTATCAAAAACGTCCAAAATTGATGTACCCTCCAAAATTCTTTAGATCTCGAAAATTTTTTATAGGCATTCAATAAAACGAAATAAATACAGAGAAATAGGCAGAATTTCATGCTCTATCTCTTTTTAATCCATTGAAAATAAAACCTAAGAGAGTGAAAGATTTACGATCTTCTCCGACGATATCATTATATCTATGCATTCTAGGTGCTGAAAAACTAGAGTTTTGGTTTTCTGAAGTTCTTATTTTTGGACACCTGAAAATAATTTTTATTTCAGTATATTCTGGTTGCAAAACAATTTTCTCTATTCGAATCGCTATTTGGAATCTTTCTAGCGATTATGATCACGAAAAAAATTGAAAATAAACTTTGTTGAATAATTTTAGTACTCACTGTTTACGTTACTATGCCATATAGTACATTAGGTGAGAAAATGGAAGTCGGCTTGTTCGAGATTTGAATAGCAACATATACACTTTAATTAATGATCAGTTTTTGGTAAAAAAGAATTTGTTTCAGCTGATAAATTCATTAGAAAAACTTAATCATAATCAATCAGCGCAAATACTTCTGAACTAACATACAGATTTTCCAAAAACCTTGGTTTTTAAAAGTTTTTCGCGTTTTCTTTGTCATAAATGTATTTTAAGAGAAAAATAAAGACACATTTGGAATCAGTGCGAAACACTGCATGAAAAGATATAAAATTTGTTAATTTTTAAAATAAAAAGTTTTTTCATAGAAGTTTAGAGTGAGGGTCGACCTCAAAGATTTTCCATTGCAAATGGTCTTCTTTCCATTAGTCTTATTTTTTTAGAATAAATAATTAATATTTCTATGAAAAAAAATTCATTCTTAATAGAAAATAAGTCTCATTCACATGCTCAATAGCAATTGCTTCTGTGTCGTGCGTTGATATATCTAGAGGAATCTCGAACACATAAGACTTGAAAACTTTTATTCTAGTTGAAACAGTGTTATAGGAGAAGTATAATGGCGTTGAATTACGGTATATCTTATATTAAAGAAAAAAATCCCTATTTATTTACCGGTATAGTAAATAATAATGTACCGGATCAACATTTCATTTTTATTTTATTAACTTTTATCATTTCTATTTTCTTTCAGTGATCATGGTGTTCAAACTGATCTTCGATTAGTATTACCAAATCGACCAACAAATTCACATGCTTATGAAGAATCTGATTTACCTCCACAAGTTCCAAATCATCATTATCGTAATGCAGGTTATCGTAATATTCCAAATCAACCAGGTAAAAAAAATTCTCGTATGCATTCACTTGATGATAATCATTCATCACGACGTACATCATCAATTAATCAAACAAATTCAAATGATGATGATACAATGTCACAAATAAGTAATCAACGTAGTTCTCAAGGTCCAATTGATATTCATCATCGTCCATTATGGAATTATAATAATCCTAAACATCGTGAATATGTTCCTAATTCAAAACGTGATCCACATTATGAAGAACGACAACGTCTTAAACATTTTCAACAAGGAAATTTTGATCGTATTGATGATGTACAAAAAAAGATATGTTATAATCGTTGGAATAGTGACAGTGAATTACAACAACAACAAAAAAAATCCATACCAACAAATCGTATACGTTCAACAATATCAAAAACATCAACAAATGGAAATCATAAAGATGAAAGTATTATGAATTTACTTAAACTACAAAATAAATATCAACAAGACACATTTGGTACAAGAAAACCATCATCAATGCAAACAAAAAATGATGAAGATTTTAATTCTAATCGTGGATCATCATTAGATAAATATGAAAGTTATATACCACATACAAGAAATGATGAAATAATTGATCGAACTAAAATAAATTCACCATTATCACAATCAAGAGAAACATCACCACATAAAGAATTAATGGAAGTATGTATTAAAAATTAATCAATTCTTCTATTTGAATAATTTAATATTTCATATTTAGTTTTGATAGTAAATATTAATCAAAATTCTTTTAGCTTTCTGCTTTTGTTGCTTCTTGATTTTGCTCGAATTTTGCTTATTTTTTTAATATCTTAGAATAATACAAATGATAATTATCGTCAGCAACGAGAATGGGATAATACAAATAAACAATATCCAAATGTTGAGCCACCACAATATAATCCACCACAATATAATCCGCCACAATATAATCAACCACAATATAATCAACCACAATCCAGAGAAGAACATATTCTACAACAATTATCAGCTATTAAAGAAGTCTGTCTAGTGTTTTATTAAGAATTTAGATTTATTAATCTTCTGTTTTTTTGTTCTCTATAGAATTTGGTTCGTCGACAACGAGAACTTGCTACTTAAAATAAATGTTATCTCAGTTTAATATAATTATTTCGCTAAGCGATTCGTTTTTTCTTTTTTGATCTCATCAATAATTATCAGTTTGTTTTTCTTCTTCTTTGCATTGTGTTTGTTCATTCTTTTCTTTTCTTTTTTTTTCGTGTGTGTCTAGTTTTTCAATAACTTTGAATATTTGACCAAAATATCTGACTATTAAAAAAAAAAAACTGATATTCATGGCTACAGCATATATTTGCTGATAATGTAATAGTTTTTCTTTCCTTGATGTCATATGTCTCTCGAAGGACATTCAATGGCATAAAGCAAACATCTACAGAAATGATAAATAGACGGTAGACTGGCATATATATAATGATCTTGTACATATTTTGTTGTTTTCTGTTCTATCATCAATCTGCATGCATAAATATCAATGAGAAGTATTGTTTGAAACTGACAGAGTGTTATTAGTAGAACCAAGGTAATGGAGGAGTTAATAACAACAATTGGTAAGCACGATTTGTCATTATTTGTCAATTGAAAATCTTATAACGAATATTTGGTTTTTTTTTAATGAAGGAATTGGAACATTTAGTAGAGTTATTTTGGCACGTCGATATACAGATGAATATGAGGAGTATCATGCATTGAAAATAATGGCTATACGTGATATAATACAAATGAAACAAGTCAATCATATAAATGATGAACGAACAATTCTTGACAATATTAAGCATTCTTTTATTGTTCATTTGTAAGCTTAATATTAAATTTTTACTTTTCTTCATATGATCTAAATTAAAATATATTGAAAATATTTATTGATGATTTTTAGTTATGGATCATATCGAGATAGTCGCTATTTATATTTGTCAATGGAATTTCTGCCAGGTGGTGAATTATTTTCTTATTTTCGTCAAGTTGGTCGTTTTAAAGGATCTATTGTCAGATTTTATGCTTGTGAAATTATACTTGCTTTGGAATATTTACATAGTCTTTCTATTGTTTATAGGTAAATTAAAAAACTCAAGAATATTTTCTTTCTAGTGTTCGATGATTTGCATTTTTTGTTTTATTTTAGAGATCTTAAATTGGAAAATCTCGTACTTGATATTACAGGACATGTCAAATTAACTGATTTTGGTTTTGCAAAATATGTACAAGATAGGTAAACAGAAAAAAAAAACAATTCTAAATTTTGAATTGTAGATGTAAAAATTTTCTTCTATAGAACATTTACAGTCTGTGGTACACCTGAATATCTTGCACCTGAAATGATACTCGCATCTGGTGGTCATTCATTTGGTGTTGATTGGTATGCATTAGGCATTCTAATTTATGAATTACTCATAGGACGAACTCCATTTGCTTCAACTAATCATCAAAATCATCCATCATTTATTTTTATTAAAATTTTACATGCACCTATTCCTTGGCCATCTCAACACGGGTAAGTAAACATCAGTACGCAACACTCATTAACTATGCTTACATACATATAGAATTATCAATCGACTTGTACGTAACCTAATTCAAAAATTACTTGAACGAGATCGAACACGTCGTCTTGGTTGTATGGCAGCTGGAGTAAATGATATCAAAAAACATCCATGGTTTAAACATATCGTATGGATAGATATCATGGAACGACAAATTCAAGTAAAAAATAATTGAATTTATTGTTTCTTTTTTTTTTGAATAAAAGTTTTAATTCTTATTTTGTATAGCCACCAATCATACCAACAGTTGATTATCCAGGTGATACACAAAATTTTGAATTATTTGAAGACGAACTTTTACAAGCACCAGAATGTACAAAAGAAGAATATGATTTATTTGATGAATTTTGAACTGTATATATATATATATATGTATATCAATCAATTAACAATAGAAAATAGTTCATGTTCATTGTCGTTTGTTTTTCTATCATATTATACAATTTAAGAATACAATCGATTTAATATATTGATTAATATAGAAATTATTTAATTGACAAGTGACTATAATTCAGTAATCTATTAATAACTACTTATCGAAATATACAGTAATCGCAAGAAGTCTTGCTATTGGATAAACAATACATAATCTTTTTGCCTGATATTTTGATTACAAATAGAGCTTGATAAATCGTGAGCGCAAGAAACAAACTCGAAGTCAATAGGCTTTAATGCAAAAGATTTATGATGAAAACACTGGGTTTTTCCTTAAATAAAGATTCGCATGTTTACATTATGTTACAGGTAGAGTGCTTCAATCCACCGTAATCTTGAGGCGCGAGGAAGTCTTTATTGTCTGGGATGGTCTTAGCATGATTTTCTTCTCCATTAATGCCTTCAATTGTGAAATTTTCAAGACAAATACTAGAAATCAGCCGAAGAGATCGGTCACTTTTGGACAATTCTCATCAACTTTCACATGTAGACTGCCCAAAGAATACTTCAATAATTAGACAAACTAATACCGTTCGACATGGAATTTTTATTGGTGATAGGAGCAGAGCACTAAGCTGTTCTAACGTTATGAAATTTGTTTTCTATGTTGAGATGTTCTCGTCTGAAGAAAAATCTATGTTGACCTTCTCGCTCCTTCGTATGAAGCCCGATCAAGTTTGGATGAGTCCTTGCGATCAGAGTTCAACATGCTATATTTATGGTCAAACTATGACACTAAAGAATTAAAGTTTAGGTTGTTTTTATCTGGTAGCGGAATTTTTTGTAACTAATATAGCTAACATCAAAGATGTATCAATATCTATGTCTATTGAAAATATGAATCATTATGATGCGGAATAAATGAAACACAATGTTGATATTTTTCTAACGGTATTTGTTAGCGAAAAGTGTTAACAACTAATAAGTGATTTTAAAAAATATAATTTTTTCTAGCAATCGTAGTTACTGAAATTCTACATTTCAGAATTCAATAAAACTCTACAAAAGACATTACATAAAACAGAATGTTAAACATTATGTGAAAAACTTCTTTGGATGTTGTAGAGAGAAAGTCTAATAAACCTATTGTCTATGGAATCTGCACTTTTGTAACTCAAATATTTTAATAGTACTAGAAAGTTCGTGTCGTTTTTACACGAAGAACTAGCATAACAATAGAATTTAAACGATCCGATAATTGTCATAAGCTCTGTTCAATGATTCTGAGTATAATATTTATGAAAATCCAAACAGTAATTTTCATAGTAAAACTTCCCGCTTTTCAATACCCGAATGTTATTAATATCATACATTCATTTATACTTTTCTTTTATTATTTATGCAAAATTTAAATAAAGATACACGAGCTTGTACAAACCCAGAACTCACTGCTGGTCGATTAATGTCCATACGTAATATCTATCTTCGTCAAGAATTATCCACTATTTCTGATGAAATCCAAGAAAACTATAATGAACGTTTACCTGCACTTGATTTAGTGTCACTTGCAGCTTACGAACAAGTTTTTAATAGACAAGTAATATAATATAAAATTTATTTAAATAAATTCAAAGTTTATTTCTAAAAATAATAGCCATTATCACTTCCTGAAGATTTACGACGAAATGCTATTAAATATGGACTTAAATATTATCGACTTAACATCGAGAAATTAGTAAGTCGAAATTATGAATACTGAAGAGAATTTAAAATCTGAATGTTATATATTATAGCGAAAAGCAGAAGTTAAAAATGGTCTCGTTCCCATTCATGATAGACTATCTGATTTCAAGAACGAATCTAATAATACTATTGAATCAAATGACAATCTTTCAGTAAAAGATCAAATAGACGAAAATCAATCAAATTCATCAAGTTCACAGAGTTCAACATCATTAAACGAAACACAAGATGAAGATAATTCAAATGAATCATTCTCAACAGATAATACATTTGATTCTACTTTTACTGATACAACAAATAACATTGAAACAACATCTGATGAGTCTTCTACCATTAAAACAAATAAAAATGACATTTCTTCCAGTATTTCTTCTTCATCAATTGATACTTCTAATGATACAAACTTAAATTCTTTCGCCACTGATCCATTATTGACAAGGACATCGAATGGATCGATGACAACAACCAAGACACATCAATCAGCTGCCTTAATCAAAAAGCTTTCTCGTACAAAACCACCGAAGATTATTGTACGCCGACCATCGAATAATAGTCTGATATCCATCGATACTGAGAATTCATCAATGACAATTAATAGAAATGAAACATCTACTGAAGAACAAGCAATCGATATTCATCATCTATCACCAAATAAACAAAAAAGCAAAAAACAACGAAAACATACAAGCAATTAAAATGCTATCAAACTATGATCATTGTTTACAATAAAATCATCAAATTTTGAGAAAAAATATATCACTTCAAAAGAAGCATAGACTTTAATCGACAAATATTTTTGTTTTGTAATTTATCGTTTATGTATAGTTCATTAGAATTTCAAATTAATCCAAATAATCAAAAATATTTGCTTTTTTTTTAAAATCAGCTATTAGAATGGCAAACAAAAGAAAAGGTCTTTAAATCATAAAAAAATAATTAAATATATTTGTTTAACTTTAAATTTTATTCAATTAAATGGCAAGAATACGTAATATTGCTTGAAACAAATTAATACTTATGAAGAAATGTTTTCAAATGAACAATCGCTTTTGAATTCGGACTCTGTGCATAAGGTAGACTCCAGTGAGATATAACAAATCTCAAAAGAAAAATCTCTCTTAGGCTCTTCTAGCGAAAACTATAAGCAATTTACAGGAATTTTAACTTCTGGGTTGATACATACTAACAAATCGAATGATGATATTTTGACATGAGATTTTGCCAAAAGACAGATCTATTTTTCAACTCAAAAGAATATTTCCTTCTCGAGATATTAAAGTTCCAAAAATCATTCATATTTCATGAAAGATGTTAGAATTTTCTGTTTTTTTGGACCTTGGGAAGAAAACATTGTTTTGAATTAAAATTTTCAGAACATTCTATTGACAAATAGACTTGTCGGTGAGTGAAATCTCAGATCGAAATATCATCATTCGATTAGTTAGTATATACCAAACCTAAGGCTAAAACTCCAGTAAAATGCCTATAAACTCTGAATAGAAAGTCCAAAGAGATTTATCCTTTTGAGAATTTTTATTTCTTACTGAAGTCTACTCTATGTATAGAGTTCGAATTCAAAAGCGATTGATCAGTTGAAAACATTCTTTCGTTGGTTGCGTAACCAGAAAAAAAAGTTCAAGGCCGAATAGCCTCTTGATCATATAGATAGTGAAGACCAAGACCTACGAGACTCAGCCGTTAGTAAGGGAAGAGCTAACAAGGGACATCTAGCAACTAATTAGTCACTTTGGATCGAGTCTAGGTGCATCATGTAGACTCAAATGAATTTTGAATATCTCGGAAAGAGTTCGTATCCTTAGCTTACTACTGCGAAGATATTGCACTTTTTTACGATAATTTTTAAATGAATGCCGTAAACCTCATCGGAAAAACTGATTTTTGAATTTCGACTTAAAACTTTATACAAAAACAAAGTTCGATGAGAATAGTTTATTGTAAAATTTTCAGATCTTTTCATTTAATGAGCAATGTAAAAGATCGTTAAGGACTGGTTGTGTGCAAAGTTTCACGTTGAAATTCGAAAATCAATTTTCCTCCGAATATCTAGAGTGCGTTCATCTACAATAAATATAATGTTCACCAGAGGTCGCTATAATATGTTAGACTGAATCCCACCTATTTTCTATTGTTGTCATTTTCTTATTAGACAATTCACTATCTTTGTTTGCCGATGTTTTTCTTGTTTTTTCAATTTTGTTGTTTTTAAAAACATCAATAGAGGTATTGACAGTTCGTTTCATTTGGTTAATCATGAGTCATCTATTCATAAAGATACACATCCCCCCTACGCTATTTGTCGTTTATTACATATAGAATGATGATCATACAAATGTTTTATTTGTCATTTTATCTTTGTATTCTAAATTACATACCTATATAATGTATTCAAAAGAACGCAATATATGTGTATGTATATATATACAGAGTACCAATATGATTTCTACATTTTAGATAAACGTAATTTAATAGAAGGCTAAGAGACTATCACAACAAAAAAATGTTATCAAGTGTTCGTCGTTTCTTTAAATTTATTCATTGGTTATATCTTCAATATCTTCTTAATACGGCATTATATATGCTTGAACCATGGGAACGTGTACTTTTTACAACATTATTATTTGCCATTATATCTACAGCTGTTTATTCGGCTTTAGTTTTTCTTCCAGTTCATGTTCGTTCAATGATACAAACTTATTCATAATCTAAAACAAAATATTTATCGTAAACATTCTTTTTTTTTCTTTTCCAAATTAATGGGGGCAAAATGAAAAATATCTCGGTTGTTAGTTTATTGTGTATATTTCGTTCAGATTGTGTAATAAAAAAAAAAAAAGAGGAAATGACTATTGAACCCATTTATTTTATATTTTCCTAAAAAAAGAAAAATTTAGAAGTTCATTTAAGTTTTATTTTTTCTTTTTGTAAATATTGGTAAATCGAGAAGTTTCTAGTATATTCGATCGAGAATTGGCCTTAGAAAATAAAAATAAATATTTAACTATTTATCGGTTTGAAATATGACTCAATAGAAAAATAAAATCAACATTGAATAGAACATTTTTATTTATCTTTAATTTCAATATCAAAATTGATTAATTTTTTAATTGATTTTGGTTTTCTCATGACTAAAATCATACAAACTATGATTCATTCTAAATAGCTGTGAGTTTTTCTTTTCATATGAGTCACGATTATTTTTCGTCAGTTACGTAAAGAAATTTAATAACAGGCACTATACATTTAATAACGATGGTACATTTTAGTTTTGGTAGCTATAATCTTTTTTCTTTAATAGAAAATTTTTAGACAAGATGTTTGTTTACTTTTAATCTACTAGTAAGTATTTTCGGTGAGTCGAAATTTATTTTTCACTTATTCAAAAAGGAACTTATACGGTAAATAAAAATCTCTTGGCTTATCATAAAAAAATTTTTCAGGTCTTTCAAACATTCCCACCAAAAATAGATACTACATTTTTAATTAGAGAACTATCTTAACTGACACCCATCATTTGACCTTATATTGGACTCATGAGCAGGTACCAGTGAGACTAGCAAAAACTTAGAAGAGTTCGTTCCCATGGGCCTTTGGTGCCGATTTATAATCGTTTTACTAGATTTTTCAATTCATTTTTAGGTACTCCCTGGAAGATTGAATAATGAAGTTTTAGTCCAAAATTTTATCTATAGATAGGTCTAATGACTCTTTAGAATGAGAATATCATGAAAGTTTCAATCGAAAAGAATGTTCCTTTATCGAGTTATTAAATTTTCAATTGAACTCGATTTTTATGACACAAGACTATTTGTGGAAATTTAATATCTTGATGAAGGAACATTATTTTTGGCTGAAATTTTCAGGATATTCTAAAAGTCATTAGACTTATCTATAGGCAAAATTTTGGATCAAAACTATGTTATTTAGTCTTCCGAGAATATCTAAAAACGGGTCAAAAATCTAGCAAAATCGCTCATAGTTCGATGCCAACGGATAATGGGGACGATTCCTCTTAGGTGTTTGCTATTCTCACTGAGACCTATTTGTGGATTCAATATGAGCTCAAATGGTGGATGTTGCCTTGAGTAGTTTCTTCGTAAGTCCATATTCAAATTCTGATCGCAACCTATAGTTTCGGACTCTTTGGAAAATGCTTTCGAGCAGATCAAAATGAATAAACATGTTCATCAGAAACGTCGGCTCACAAGTTTAATTCACGCTAGTTTTTTTTTGGCTTTTCAAAAACTCTCGAACAAAAATTTCCAAGTCTATATTCGATACGAGCACAAAATCATAGCTTTTAACACATCGGAAATACTTTCTAGCGAGTCAAAAGTGAATAAACATCTTGTCTGAAAAGTTTCCGCACATTCCCGATACAAAAGAGACTTATTAACTTTACTAGAAAAGAATGAAGTTTTAAATTTTGATTTATGAAAGATTCCTGAACAATGTGTTATTCAGCGTAAGGGACGGTGCTCATTCACAGATCAGATTAGTCTTTCGGAAGAGAAAATCTGAATAAAACACTGTTTCTAAATGATAAATAAACATAATAAAATGACAAAAAAATATTTTCATACATGATCTTTCCTTGGTAGATTTTACATGTAAACTAAGAAAATAATAAACATATTTCTCAGGTTAAACCAATCAAAATTTTTTCACATTCATTTTGAAATCCACACTGATGTTTTCGATAGACTTACATATCTATACGAGACTTTTTTCCATAGATCTTCCCCTTGATTATATCTATAAGACTTTAGTGAAAATAAAATGTTTACCTATATTGAATGTATATTTATTTGACTTCAAATCGCTTCCTCTATCGCTTACATTTTATACAATGTAAAAAAGGGTTATAGCGGACAAATCACTAGCATGTGTAATGATGCTTGGTGTTGCTAATTTTTTTCTTTCTTTCCTTTTTTCGGTCGCTATTTAACTTCTATACATTTTCTTTTGTATCTTTCTTCTTTTCTTTTGAAATTATTATTTAGTATATCGTGTTATATAATTAGGCCTTGAACAAATGATATGGGTTTATTATCGAATACATTTCCTTACTATTTTTTTTCTCACATTCATAATTACTTTTTCTTTTCTACTTTTTTTTTTGTTGTTGTCATATTGGAAGCTGAATTGTGTTGCCCTCGCTGTCAAACTCAATATTCCTCGATTCTTTGTATTACGACGATGCTCATAGGCTTTACCATTTATTATTGCACGAACGAAATCGTTTTTCTTTCTATTAACTTCAATGTGTTGCTGGCGTACCTCTCCTATGTTTTTTTATACTTTTTTTTTCTCCGTGAGACATTGTGTATATGCACTCACATAAACATTCACAAACACATACACATAACGACAATTACCTGAGTAGAGAGAGTGTCACACGATAAATTACAGCGATTTGTCGACCATTAACGATGAGTTTTACAACTCGAACATCGTATTTGGATTCATTAACAACGAACAACAATGATTTAACGGTAATCTATAATCTATTATAAAGAAATTGAAAGTACGAAAAAGAGTTTTGAAGTTTTTCAATCATTCCAGAACTTTCATTGGACTTATTACTTTTTTCTTTTTCCTATCAAAAACAAATTTTTTAAGAAAGCAAATAGATTAGTAAGGTATTGTGTTATGTTAATTTTATCTTATATTTTTTTTTCTATACATAGATTAAAACAAATTTACGACAAAAAAAATCTTGGTACAAATCGTTATATGAAGATAGTCAACGTCTATATATGCAATTTCTTTTAATGACAACACTTTATGTTATGGAGCCATGGGAGCGAGTGCTTATAATGGGTATTTTTCTTTGCATCATCTCACTAGTTACTTATTCGGCTCTTGTTTATATTCCATTTCACATTCATTATTTACTACAATCGACAATGCCAAGTATCTCCACTGTATTCGCACTTCGATGAACGTAGTTTAAAACATAAACTTTTGACAAATTACGCGCAGCAACTATTATTTTCATAGAAATTTCGATTGTTTTCTTTTTCTGTTCTTTTACTCCAATTTTTTTAACAAAAAAAAAAAGAAAAGAAAAATGATATCATTGTGATTCATTTTTTTAAAATATTTATCCATTTTCTTAATAGATTCGTGCTTACAAAAAAGAAAATGAAGAAAGTTTATTGGAGAAAAGCCAATTTATTTCCATACTGAAGGGCGATTATATAAACATCGCTCATTTGTTTGTTATGATTTTTTTTTCTTTCCTTTTCTTTTTTACTACCGAAATATATGAGTACACGTGAAACTGTACTGTCTTGTATTGTTGATGTTATTATGCATATGAGACACATTGATTAAAAATACGTCATATTCGATTTTTACTTTTCTTTTAGATCAATTTTTTTATTTATTTATTTATTGTGTTGTAACTAATGGACATTGATTCTGAACCTATATCATCAACCACAGGCATGTCAAATTTAGACGAAGATTTAATGGAAAGATTACGATCAATTACAACATGTAACCGTGAAGACTTAATAGCACAATTTCGTTCGACTACCAATGCTATGTTAACAGATGAAGGTTGCGCTTTTTTTCTCGAAATGAGTAATTGGTAAATCGATTGATCAAATAAAACTTTCAAAAGGAAAAAACAATTTTTTTTTTTAAAATGAATATAGGAATTTAAATGAAGCTATTCTTGCTTATTATGATGCTGAAATGCCAACAGATAAAATTCCTCAGATGCGTTTTGTTGCTGACGTAACTGTTGGTGAAGGTGAAGCCATTCCACCTAATACACGATTCGTAAAAACTTGGCGAGTTGAAAACTCTGGTAAATTTCTCATATTTCGTTTTTGAAATAATAATTTTTTTTTTATTATTAATTAATATTAAGGTAATGAACCATGGCCAAGTAATTGCTCATTACGTTTTGTTAACGGTGATCGATTACAAGACAGAGATGAAATTTATGTTGGGTCTTTAGCACCAGCTGAACAAGCAAATATTTCTGTTGATATAACTAGTCCGGCTGTTTCAAAAATTATTAGATCACAATGGCGTCTGTTTACTTCAGCTGGTGTACCTTTTGGAGGTAAAAGATGAATATAATTAGCACGGTGATTTTCTGACTCTAGAATAAGTTCTATTGCCCATTGCTTACTAAGGAACTATTTCAAATGAATTCATATTTGTTAAGGAAGGTCATCAATGATTTTTGTTTTTTAGTAATTCTCTTCCTGAAAATACTGTTATTATTATTTGTGACGTTTCGGCAAGTCGATGCTGCCTT